CAGGATGCATCAGCGATATCCGCGCGACGATGCCTGCAACAGAAATGGCAGGTCAGTTGCAATGTAGCTTCGATTAAAGAACTCCCTACAAAAACGTTGCAATACTTGCAATCATCATTTTTATGAAAAGTAATATTTTAATAGGAAAATATTGCTTGTGTGCGGTGGCTACATGGTTCCCATTTTTTTTAATTAAAAGAATGTTGGATGCAATGTTTTCTCAGGAAGCCCTTCAATTATTTTATCAAAAGACCGTTTCTGATTAATTAATTCCAAAATTTTGAATGAGTCGTTAAACTCATTTTTAATCAAACAAGCATTAAATTAATTCTAGAACACTATCGAGTGTGATACAGTATTGCTATTGATATGTAAAGTTGATAAAAAGAGGAATTGGGGCACTCCTAATTAATGCAACACAAGATTTTCATACATTTCACATTCTTAATGACATAATATTTATATAATCTAGATTTTTGTAAACACAAATCTAATTATTAACTTAAAAGGAAAGAAATAATAAGTACATTATCAAATTAAAACTTACTGATCATTGAAAGCGTAGCTTAATTAGCGCTTAATGATTTCGCTTATTTGCACATCAAACTTAGCGTTGGTAGGATCAATACGCCCATCGTGTAATTTTTCGGAGCGATGTACCGATTACAATAACGGATTGCCTATGGTACGCGCTGTGCACATATCTTTTCCAGTGGCTAACCGTTATCGAGTGGCATCAATGAATTTACACTGGGAGAAAGTCGGTCCATTAATAGGACACGCGGCGATAACGATCATAGAGTCCGCCGCAGTTCGAATTCCTTACCGCCACGTATATTAACATTCATCCTGTTCCTTGTTTTCCTCGGTGTTCCTTGATGGTAAAAACGCGCGTCCCATGAATTCCACTCTTTAGAAATCGGTACGGACTCGCTTGCATAATCGGACAGATCCCGCTTTATTTCCGTGTGTGACGTTGTAGGATATGCTGCCCCCTCGCCCTGTCGACCACCAGCTGCAGTTCTTCGGAGTGGACGCACGTGGATCAGGTAAAGAATTTTAAAATAGAGTATCTTGTTTCGTACATTATTGCGCAATATAAAACTCCAAGAGTTTATTTCTTGTTGCGCTAAGCAATTTTTTTCGAGAAGAAAACAGATATAAATTAAATTTTGCTTTATTAGGCTTTGAGAATTTTGACTCGTGAATTTTAAATTCTTCATATACCTTTGTTACTTCGGTTTGTTTTACTTCTTCTTATCGAAATATCGTTTTGATATACTGTATTACCTATTGGCAGCGCGTTCTACGCGATAAGAAACAGTGCAGTAGCTTATCAGCTTTTACCGTTATGCACATCGACACGTATATTATATCTAGAAAAGCAGAGCATATACAATGAATACTTGAAAATTTATGTTACATTAACTGTAAAATTTCTATTAAATTAATTACTTTTGATTAATAATTACCATTAATTGTATAAAATTCATATATATTGATTATATTTTTTTTATAAATTAAATTCTACTTATCATATATATATAAAAAATAATAACCGTTGAATTGTAATAATTACTAGAATAATTAATAATCACAATAACTACTCTTGAATAATTACATTAATTGTATAACATTCTACTAATTATATTCTTTATAAAATTTTTTATTAAACTCTATCATGTAAAAAATAATCGTTGAATTATATAATAATCACTGGAAAAATCTTCTTTTAAATAAAATAAAATACTTAATTTTCCCCGGTTTTTGCCGGGGAATATTAACTTATCTGTTAATATTCGTGCATTAATTATAAAACATTAATATAGTAATGTGTGTGCGTGCGTGCGTGTGTGTATGCGTGTATTCTGAGTTATCCACTTTTTTGACATATTTTTAATTTCAAAGTATAAAGCCTGATTTACAATTGCGTAAACGTAATTATAAGTGGTCATTGTTGTAACAATTCACCAATCACAGTCGGATATTCTCCTTGTATTCAAGTGTGATTGTTCAATTCTTACAACTACAATTACGTTTACGCAAGAGATCGGGCTTATGATCGCTTAAAAGGCAAGAATGCAACGCCTCTTTCTCATGGGGATTTAATTTGACCGTTTTCTAGGCGCCGGAATGGTCGCGTAAACCGAATAACACAACCGTGATTCGTGTTAATCAGAGCTCGAACCAGAACCAGAATCACCGGCCTATACTGGGCGGGCAGTACCATTTCAATCCGCGTGGCAATTACGACGATGACATCGATAACGAGCCACTTTACGACCCCGTGGCGCCCAGGATTGACTATGAGGTGCATGATTTCGACGCGAATCCACGAGACGAGGCCAATCGGCGGCTGGCCTATCGGCGAGATAACGCGAGGCAGCAGGACGTGATTTATGACGGGCCTGCGGACGACTTACCCATGTATCATGGCTCCAAAGTAAGGAGATCTGCTTTCGTTATCACGCCATTTTTCATCTTGAAATGTTGTCTCGTTAAGTAATCGGATAATTAAATATACGAGCAAGATATGTTACGTGCCGCGAATAATTTTCTGCGCCAGGAGAACGACCAAGTGGTCGGCAATCGATTGACGGATCTGCAACTCATGCAGCGACAGAGCGAAGCCGAGAGGAAGACGATAACGACCGTAGAGGTGCATCAGTCGGTTTGTCCACCTGCACCTCCGCCGCCGCTTCCTTACAAATGGCCAGCAGGTTTGACGGCTTTTCCCGCAGCATCATTAGAATAATAACTGACCGCGTTTGCTCGAGCGCCAAGTCGAAGGAAGTCCTCTTTCCGCTGTCCATTCGTTTGAAAACATAAATTTCAAGTTTTTCACTTTTTTTAATAAATAAAATACATATCCTCTTACTAAAAGAATTAAAAATATTTTCATGCGCTGTTCTTTCTTAGATTAATAGAGACATAATTTGATTTAAAGCTTGTACATAATAAATTAAATTAAGTTAAACTAAATTAATGTGATTTAAGACTCAAATAGATTATAAATCAAATAGATTTTTTTTTATAAATTAATTAAAGAGCTGAAAACATTATTTTTATATATGAGTTTTATTACTTGTTAATTTTAGCATACAACTAGCTTTGGCTCATCATTTTTTATATATTAAATTTTTTAATTTAATATAATTATTAAATTAAATTAATTTAATAATTATTAAAATAAATATTAATTATTTTCCAATTTATATATTAAAATTGAATTTATATTTTTCGGTGTTTTTTTTTTTAAATGAAGATCTATACTTCGAATTTAAGAAGATTATTTACTTCTATATAATGTTTCATATTACAATCGTCGTGTATCTACTATTACAGAGACCAAACCAATGAACGCCATGGGCATGCAAATGGGCAGCACCATGTCGATGGGCAGCACCGGCTCGACGGAGACCGAGTCAAGCCTTGAGTCGTCCTGCAGCAAGGATTCCGCGTCGACGTCGTCATCTCTGTCAACATCGTCCTGCGAGCCGGCATCCACCGTTTCTTACGGATCGGCGATCGGTGGCGGATCCTCCAGCGTTACCAGCAAAACGACGGAAACTTCGACAGCCACATACGCGACGCCGCGCAAGGATGTCGCCAGGACGTCGCCGATCGCCAGCACCGATCTGAGCACCGCCATCACGCAGGAGTTACAGAGGCGAGCGCAGCAGGTAAAATTGATCGATATTCAAGATAAAATCACGTATCTCGGATTTTCTTCTGTGAGATAAGATCGCTAAACCATGAGGATTGAGAGTAAACATGAAGCGTAATTCCTAATATAGTTTTTATAATGCATTCTTATCGTATGTATTATTGGACGTGTTGCAATCAAAATGCTTCCTGTCTTCTCTCTCGCGTTGAATGTATTCGTAATTTTTTAATCTTAATCGTTATTTTGCAACGATATCTTTGCCATTGGTCTGTTTATCTATGATATCTTTTATATTTTATGTTCTTCGTGTCTATCGCGATAGAAATTGATGAATGTTATCAATCAGTTGAAGTACCTCGCGACATAATGTGCTGCAAAAAGTTTAATCTTTTAGCCATGAACTAGATTATATATAATGCTAGAGTATATAATTAAATAGTTAGAAGTTGTTTTCCTCGGTACTGTAACTTCTTCATTTTTTTCTATATAGATACATTTTTAGTGTTTAAAATAAATTACGTTCTCTACGAGTATATTTATTATTTTTATTTTATCTCAAGTAATTATTAATTGCCTTTAATAATTAGTTATTTTTAATTTATCACTATATTTATTATACTCGCATTTTATCACATATCACGCATTGTTTTTCTTTCTCGCAGAGGATGAATAATGCTGCTAAAGCAGAAACGCTAAAGGAAAAAACTCCGGATAATCGCAAGCCTCAGAATCCTGAAACTTTGAGATCGCAGGAGCAAAAAGTCGCACACGATAAGGTCAGTTGCTTGCAATTACGTATATATAATTAATTGCACATGTATAAGGAATCTATAAATTGTATGCAATTACCGTCCAGTCTTAATTATTATAATTTAGAGCTGATGCCTCATATTAAGAATGCGCTTTTTTATCGATAAACGTTTTTATTTCTTTTATTTCTGAAATTCTGTAGTATGTAGCGTGAACTATGTTAAATTCGCGCTAATATCGTTATACACGTTCTGAATATATGCCATTGAATCTGCTGACTAAACCTAAAAATTCCTGCTAATAAAATTGATTTTTTTTTTTGCAGCTGATGGAGGAGTTTAAACGTGCACACCAAAAGATGTTCAATTCTGCTCAACAAAAAACGCAGTCCTCGGAACAGGTGCCCAAAGAAGTTCAGGAGAAGGTAAGAAAAAATTAATTCATTTTACGTATTATTTAAAAATTGCGTAACTTAAATTTTGGAAGATTCAATAAAATAATATTCTCTCAACTCTAAAATAATAAAATATTCTTTTAGTACTTTTTGAATATGTTTTTACGTATGTTGCAATTTGTAACTACTGATCTGTATACAGAAATAATTAGTCGCGAATTTATTTTGCCGCGTGGAATTTGAAATACATGAAGCTCCAACTTTTATGCGATAACAATAGTCTACCTGACGCCAGTCTGGTGTACTGTTCAGTGATAAGCGTATCTTTCAAACCGATTAATGACGTAATGTATTGCATGTTATAATTGCAATCAAGTATTAACAACATGCACAAGTCGAGATTGCCGTAATGTCAGCAATGAATTAAATTGATCTTAAAAAAATGAATCAATTTTAGACAAAACGTAAATTGAATTGTAAAAAGTCGAACTAATCAAAATTATCAAAAGTTATCAATGAGTTATCAATAAGTTATCAAATATTTAAAAAATTAAAAGCAATTGAAGTATAATGCAAGGTTCCACTGATATCAATTACGATAATTCTCCGAAGGTGATCGTAATTAACAACGTAAAATTAACGATTGCGCGTGAAAGCACGATATATAACGCGCTCGAAAACAATAGCCGTTTCTATCGTATATCAAGTTAATTTCGCTTTAACGAGATGTCGAAGTGAATAGATGGCGAAGATATGAGGTCTTTCGACCCGCACGCATCTTTTTCTTGCGAGTATTTTCAAGGCGTAGCTAACCGGCGCGGCGGCTCGAGTAGCGAGTTTTTAATTACACAACCGCTAAGCAACGATCCGGCGGTGCAAACAGATAAGAGCACGAAATTATGAAGACTCCGGAATAGTCGTCGTCGGTGTGGCGTACAGACTACGACGTAATCGTCGTGCACGTGTGCGTGCATGCATGCGTTGCTGACGCGCCAATATATTTACTTGTGTGTATACCTGTGGAGCGCACATTGGTTGCTCGGTAGTATTGTTGAAACGTCGAGAGATAGCGAGCAGTTTGCACACCTTAAAGTCACGTATGTTCCAACGTTTTGTTTCAGTTCTTGCATTACCACGCGGTAAGGAAAATGTACGAGCGATATCGCGGATCGCGTTTGATCGCGGAAGTAGTTTATACGTAAATTAATTATATTAACTGCTCTCTCGAGAGCGCGCATTACAATCATTCTCGATACATCGTTTTTGACGTAGAAATATTTGTGACAGTTTAATCAACGAAATAATAATAATAAACCTGCTGCGGAAATTAATTACTAATAATTATTATTCGAAAGCTGTATTCAAAACCAAGCGGCATCTCGAGTGTCTTCGGATTGCCGGGATAATAGGAATAACGGGAACGACTGTCTCTCCAGATTAAAACGTGTATCTCTAGATTAGAGTGTGCCGCAACAAAGTGATTTCGTGCGCGTATATATTTCTCATTTTTCGAAGAGAAATCTGGATATTATTTTCTTCAACACACACAAGTAGAGTTGAGCGTGTTTTCGTTGATAAATCACTCCTTTACTTTTTCCCGCGAGCAGGTGACTGTTACACAAGCGAGAAGGCCGATTGACAGCTTATGTTACCGCCTTATCGTCCATTAATCATCGTTATCGAGACGTTCGTGGATTTATTCGTCGTAAGGCCAGCGACGGTGATCGTAGCACCGTCACGTCGTGTACGAGGCATCCGATACCGGGATTCGAGTTGCAACGCGACACGCCGCGTCGCGTCGACGCGAGGTCTTGTGCCACATTTTTTCCTCACAGCCTCGAACACTGCAGTTTCCTACGAATTGTGGCGGATGTGCAAAATAATAGGGCTTACATAAGAACGCCGGCGTAAGGCGACGTAACGTGCGCTCTTCTTGCGTTCCTTCAGTTGCCCGTCCGCCGTCGTCGCGTCGTGCGATCGGCGGTCCGCGAAATAAATACCGCAAAAACGCGTGATCGCCTGATCGCCATTCGATCGTGATTCGAAGAAAATAGCGGGATAGAGAAGTACATTTTGTGGCGAAGAGAGGAAAGAATATTCGTCGAAACATTAACACGTAAAGAAAAATGTTTTCGTCAACCCGATGACTGATTCTATTTAATTGGTTCTCCGAAAAGCTGAAGGACATTTTATGAAAATATTGAAGACTTTTAAGATAATAAGAAATAAGTTCAACGAACACTGCCATAAATAAGATTGTTTTAATGTAATCTATATATATTAGAGACAAGTCTGTTTAGTACATGTGAAATTTAATAGATGATAATATATGCGACCGCGCGATGAATGTAAAAAGTGCAAGCAAAAAGAACTAACTCACGTGGAAAGTGGAATACGTGACGTATTAAATTTCTTGTATCACTATTGCTATAAATATTGTTAGAAATATTTAGAATTAAATATGGATAAAAACTCGAAGGCGAATAATACAACCGACTCAATAAGGAAACAAGCGCTGGTCACAATTACTCCTTACAACGTTAGTAATTATATACAAAACAATTAGCGTTAATGTGCAATTAGTATTAATATGCAATTTAATTTACAACTCTAGCACATATGTCCAAGGACAGTTTATTAATTTGTTAAATATATTTAATATTTTTCTGTCGACAAATTAAAAATACATTTTGAAAATACAACGTATTCTATTTTAGAATATATATATTAATAATTTTTAATCGTAGTTTTTTAAGTTAATAAAATACGCGTAATGTGCATACAGAAAAACACATATTTATCATATTGTTATTTAAATATTAATTACTCGTTTCAAATTTTAAAAAAGTTTATATATTCAAACTTACAGTATTTAATCTGAATCTTAGTAAATTTAACACTTCAATCAAAATCATTAAATTGAAACTTTGATTTGCTTATTATATAAAGTCGCTTCTTCGATAAAATTTTATTCTTTGAAAGAAAATAAATTTATATTTTGAGTACATAATAATGAATTTTCTTCTTTTTGTAACAAGTAAATTTAAGACTATTATTAAGAAAATATTCTTTGTTAAAGATAACCATTATTTAAAAGAAAAAGAGTAAACGGATTATATATAATTTTTCTTAGCAATAGAATGAGATATTTTTATGTGTACTAAATCCTTTTAATATCTAATTTTATTTTTGCACAGTGTTATAATTTTATATATAAAAATTGCATACATATATAATATATCCTATTTAGAATGATGTAACAATATGTTTTGTTACATTCTCAGGAACAGCAGAAGAGAATGCTCAATGAGACAACAGCAATAGTGTCGACAACAGCAAGTCCTCCGGTGCCACCGCCAGCGCCTCCGCTTCCGCTTCCTTCTAAAAATCGGAACAGCGACGACTCGGTGGAAATGCAAAGCATCGAATCGTTCAAGCTGAAGGAGACGCCCAATACAGTGCCGAAACCACCGCCAACGTACTTCCCAGTGACGAGCCCTTCCTCGACGAACAATAGTCCGCGACACGTTGGTACTGCAAGCAAGATTCCCAAGGACGCCGCAACGAGCCCCGTTGCGGAACTCGCAAAGAACTCGGCTACGCCGATCTCGCCGACCAACAGTGCTCAGCCTTCAAAGTTACCCAGCGGCAAGGTGGCCATCAGGATAGGGTCGTACGAGGGTGAGACGAAACAGCCATCCAGGTTGGAATTCTTGCCGCAACAGCCAAGTCGCGACAAAAACAGCGTTGACGACTCGGACAATAGCCCTGTCGTATCCAGGCTGCAGAACGAGCTTGCCGCGACCCTGCAGAGGTCGAACCTCAGAAGAAAGACTGAAGGCGTAAGCGATACTACAATAAAACAAAATCATTAATTACCGCAGAATAAGATTAGTCATACGCTCAGAGAAAAACATAATATGATAGCAACTATAAAAGTGACAATTATACAAGTTTTTTTATACAAAATAAATGTGTATACATAATCGAATAAACTAATGCATGGAATTGAATAAATTATTTTTACAGTGTTACAATAACTATAAAATAATTCAGTCAACTATATTATACATATTATGTTAATTCTTTTATATTATAATATATATATATATTTCTCTAATATATATTATGTTAATATATTAATTCTATATTTATATATATTTATATATAAATATATATAGTTGTCGCTTTTATATAGTTCATTATTATATCTTTTTTTCTGAGTGTAAAATAATGTTAAATCAGTGAAAGAAATTAAAACTTTTATTATTATAAATACTTCGACTGCATATTTTTTCCTGAACATTTCTGGAATTTATCGAATTATTTAATTGTAAATTTTATATGGCATTTTATATTGTAATTCTTTCTCAAAGAAAATACGACTCCGAGAAAAAATGAGAACTTGTTTTTGCATTTTAGGAAAATCAGTCGCCCGTGAAGACTATTCATGAGAACGCTGTGACATCCAGCAATGAAACAACGAATCCAGAGCCAAACAAGCTTCTTCAGAGCAATATCGAGAAACTTGCTTCCGCTCTCAGCAACAAAGTCACCATTAAAGTGAATCCGGAAAATAATAGTCGATAAGAATCGAGTCGAAAAGACGTAGCAACAATCATCTTGTATCTTCGTAAATTTTGTACATTTTTGCACGTTTCGCTAACACTATTTCGACTTAATTATATAAGTGAAAAGGCGCTCTCCCTATTGGTGAGGTTCTTTTACACGTACATGTTTTTATATCTTATTTATTATCGTATTATACACCGAAAGTAAGGAGCTAATTCTTATTAATCGAGACGAGGTTTCACGACCAGTATTTATCGCGTAGTCTTAAATGTAATCTACTGCGGCTATGTACGAATCTTAACGTAAAATTCGACGAAATGTTGAATGTTTAAATAAAATCGACGACACACATATAATATTTGATCTTGAACCCCTTATCGATTTCCTAAATTAATATATGAAATCCATGAGGCATTCAAGTTTTTTATTAATTAAGATTAAGAACACGGTGACTATGATTAAGAATATATCTACGAATTTTGTTATTATGGACATAAACATAATAACAAAAAACATTAATTTTACGATTTTAATGTTAACCCTTCAGAGCTGATGCTGGATCTATAAGATCCATTCAATTTAATTAAAAGGCACTAATTAATTTCAAAGAACTAAAATGATATAACTCGTGTAAAAAAAGTAAAATTTAAATATATTTTAATAAGAATAATTTAAATTTGCAAATATAACATTTAAAAAATTAAATAACATTTTTTACAAAAAGATTTATGATTATGAGATTATGAGATTCAACGATATACGATGTTTGATTTTGAAGCACTTACGTTTCCGTAGCACTCGATTTCGGTCAGCTCCAGAGGGTCATTGCATGAGCATATTTAAGTATTACACACTTATTATTTTTTAGAACGTTTCCCGAGAAGCGAGAAGTTGTCTGTGAATAATGCCGGTACGCATCTTCCCCTGACGTTTCGATCGAGAAAGTGTTAATTCAGCACGGTTAGGTATTGGGAGGTAAACGAGCGCTTTGAAAATCCCTCGTTCATGCAGAATCTCATAGATGATTCGTGCAGTGCGATACCATCCCCTTCCTCGCCGCGCGAGAGAAGCTATCCATGAACGCGTCACGTGGAACGAGATTGCCCGATCGGTTACGGGGTAACAGAATACGCAAATTACTGCTGTCGGAGTACCACGAGTTCTCTGAGACCATTCTGGTGGAGTCGTCGTTCGCGGAGACCACGAGGAATGGACGAGGGATTCGTCAGGTCTCTCTGGGTCTTACACCGACTAGGCTGATCGTTGCTGCCGACATCCTTCAGACTAATCCCAGTTTCTTTTGCCCATCTTGCATCGACGCTAGTATTGAGAGCTTCGAACTCGTATCCGTGTATCCCTTAGAATATGTTACGCTCAGCGTGTTTAGGAGAAGACGTCGCAAGACTCTGAAGGCAAGGTATAATCCTTCAGACAAAGCGAGGGCTATAAAACAATCACAGACTCTATTTTTTCTTTCTTTTCTCTTATGTTAAGCAGGGTCCTTACACTCGTAACACTTAACAATGTAGTATCAGCATCGTTACATTGTCGTTGCGCAGGTATTAAATACAGTAAAAAAGCTGTACAGTGATGGTACGACAATGGTTGTTCCAAAATTTATTGCCAGTGTAGAAATATATATTTATAGTGCATGTAACGTAAACTAAATTTTTAGTGCTGACAGTGAATTTTGGAACATAACTGATATTAAAAATTACAGAATAGGAGCCCTGAAATCGAAAAATACAAATCTTTAATCAATTTTCTCTTAAAGAAAGTGGATTTTTACATTCGGTTTATCTCAGACTGATTGCCCTAGATTCATTGACGGTCGAGCTAATTATTACGAGCTCGGCGGTGAGCGACGCAGGGTTTCTTGGAAAGTCTGGTGCGAACAGGTACGAAGATTACTGGCATACAAGGCAAACGGTAGCTCGTTGTCCGAAACGACGGCGGCGAGCTCGTCAAGCAGTAGCGCCTTATATTTGCTGTCGTCTGAGATAGAAATCAGGAGTAATCGCGACGCGAGATGTAAAAGATCGATATTCAGGTGATGATCGGTGTAAATTATTTTTTATCTCTTTACATTACTCATGTTATTTGCAAATGTATTTAACAGCTAAATTTATTTTTAATGGCGAGTTTAGAGTCAATTTTGTCTCAGCAAAAACGTTTCAATTCTCTCGACATCATGTGAATAATTGTAATTGGTATTTGTGGGTCCAGTGAATTTGGATATTGTCTTCAACTACGTTTTAAAAAATGTTCATAAAAAATGTTTTTTACAACTTCACATAATTTTAAATTACATAATCTCATTTTTCGGATTTTGGTCTCCAAAATGAAAGAGATTGTTTAATTATATTAATTTCAAACAAAAATACATTAATTTAAAATACATTAGACCATAAATATTAATTAGGAAATTTTTGAGCTAATACTGATTAGTGATAATATCATATCTAAAAAAAAAACGCATACAGAGTATGGAGTCATTATGGAGGTGCCGGCGACTATGTTGCTCCAACATGGACCGAGAAGAACTTGTATCTTGGACCGTGTTACAACGAGTTGATGAACGGCAATTACACGCCGGTTCCGGTGAGATTCGCTGGAGCCAGCCTGGAGGATCTAAGATACGAGCTGAAAGATCGCACACCGCGTTACATAGCTTGCGAGAAATCCTGTCACAGTTGGCCGTGTCAGACAAAGTTTGATGGTCGGGCAAGATTTCAACGTGCCGGCGGACTTTGTAATGTCCTTTTCGCAAGAAGTCGCGATGTATGTCATTGCGATTACGCCGCAAGTTGCAAAAGTTCGCCTTGCAATGTCTGTCAACTGGATAACAGTGTCGGCATAAATGTTCTTGGAAAGCATAACCGATGTCACGGTTAGATTTGCGAAAATCATAAATTTTCCTTATCTATTTAGATACATTTTAGATTCAAGTTTCCCTAATAATAGAAATTTAACCCATAACTAGAACGTAACTGGGTCCTGGTGGTCTTGGGAATAATTTTACATTTCAATTTTATTTTTCACAGTTTTGTTCTATTCATGTAGGCTAATTATCGTACTATTTGTGATAATTTCAAGTGTTCTAATTTTTTATGTAAATGAAAAATTTTCTTTGTATAATAACTTTTAATAACGTAGAGACTTCGAAAATTTATTTTTAAATATATACTTCTGTTATGGGTTTAAAAAATTGTAAGAATAATAATATAATTTATCGACTAAATGAATCCGATAAATATATTAGAAATGCAAATATTCCAACCGAAATACATTATATTATTAAACATTCAAAAACGTTTAGAACGTCGAAACATGTTTTTCGAAGACGATTTCGTAGAGCATGTGGAAAATAAGTATGGCAAACGTCAACAACAATATCAGAATGAGCCGAAAGGGACTTTAGCAAAAATATCGCGTTTTGGCTTCGGCGTGTCGGAGAAATGCAATTCCGAATTGATTCTGGGTCCTTATCGTGGTGATTCGGGCTACGAAGACGTCGTCGATGCTCGTAAGTTGCTCGAGAACGGCGTGACAATTTGGGAAGACAATTGCCGATCCTTAAAGGGTCAGAGACATCCGCGAAGATACGGCTTATCTTCGGCAGCGCATTTTTTCCATGCGCTCGGCCCGTGGTCGGTGCAACCTGGCGAGCGAGAATCCGTGCAGACTCTCAGATCACCGAGTGCGGTCAACATTCGCAGACAGCCCTCAGATCCGGAGCTGAGACTTCCGGTTTCGCGCCGCCAGTTGACAGCCAGCATCTCTTGCACTGCCTTGACACCCGGCGGATCCAGTATTATTGGTGCCGTCACTAGAGGACGAGTGATACTCTTCTGGACGCCAGAATATTGGTACAGGCCTCAGGCAGCAGTTGCTGCCTACAGGTGATACAAAAAGAATATTTGTCATTGTTCTAAAAGTCGTATAAGGTGTCCAACATAGTTTACTTGCCGTTTATAAATAATATATTACATATAGTTAAATCTTTATTATATCCATGTAAAAAACTCATATTTTCAGTTAATGTTAAAAAATGTTTCCTGATTTGAATTTGACCACCAGTTTTCAATGTTGAATATAATTAGCAAAAATCGTAACGTTTAGGTAGGCCACATTGGATACACTCATTTTATATGTAATTTATATCTTAACCAACGAAAGCTCAATTCAATTATCTCAACTTCAACAAAAATTTTAGAGTGAGAATTTAATTTTAATTGAATTTAATTGTCCAATTTAACGTTCAATTGCATTCTTCATTAAATAATTTGAGAAGAGATTGTTTGTCGTAAGAGGATTAGGTATCATTAGATATCAGCTTGTAATCAGTTATGTCTTACACAAAGCATCTTATGACAGAGAGCTGAGGCATCACTTAGCGTCTCTTCAGAATTTTCGACACGGGAAGGAGAAGCAATCGAAAGGAAAATTCTTCTACCGACGAAAAAATCGAATATCAAGCGAGAACGGCAATACTGAAGTTGCGATTACAGAAAAATCCAGCAGTCTCTTGGACCGCATGCTTTCTATCAACGGTACACGCAAACGCGATGGAAAGACGAACAGAAACGTCAACATCGACGAAGGCACGGCACAATTGCGGAGATTGCTAAGGATGAATCTTCGCATCACCATGTGGGACCTGGACAGCACTACCTTTGCCACACAACTCACGTCGATCGATCGCGATCTCTTCGTCCGCATTCCCACGACCGAGATTGAGGCGCTGATCTACCAGAGATCGTCGCGCAACGCACCGAATTTGGGTGCGTGGATCGCCTTCAGTCACCGGATCGCCTGCCTGACCGTTAGCGAGATTCTCGCGATCAAGCAGCTCGACATGAGGACCAGGATCATGGCGAGATTTATTAATGCCGCTGACAAGTGTCTTGCGCTTGGCAATTTTCAGTCTTGCAGATCCATCCTGGCTGGTCTACAGGCTCCGCCGATTTACAGGCTTCGGAGAAGCTGGTCCTATCTGAGGACTCATCACGCCAGCAGGTTTCCTTTCGTTTAAGATCCATTACAATTTCCTAATTAAATATCAAAGAAAAAATAATTCCTTTTGATATTTATCATAAATCTTTCTCATGAATAAATTTATCATACATTTTTAGTACACAGTCAAAACATTCTGTTAAATTTAACACATTTTACGTGTCCTAAACAGTCCCCATTCAAATTTAACATAAGATAAATATGTTACAAATATAAATATTATAAAAAATTAACACAAAAAATGTAACATTGACACAATTTGCGTAAGCATATTTCTTCAGTAAAATTTACATTTATAATATGTTAAATTAATACATTTTATTCATTTATCTTAGAATTTATGTTTTAGAATAAATTATTTTTATGTTACTTCTCTCTCTCTCTTCTCTCTCTCTCTCTTCTCTCTCTCTCTCTCTCTCTCTCTCTCTCTCTCTACTTACACATAGATTGTATTATTTTAACATAAAAAAATATTGAATATTAATTTAATACAAGATATTCAAATAACGGAGTCACGTTAAATAAATATTTGAATATGTGTTAAAAATTCAATATAAAAATTTCAACAAGAATAGGTTTTAACATAAAAAAAATACAAAATGTTTTTTTACTGTACACGCGAATAAATTAATAAATTAATAAATAAAATCTGATAAATATTTCCCGATTCTCCATTTGTTAATTACTCTATTTCGAAAAAACAAAAAAATGTTTTAGTACCGACACAATCATACATATTTTAGATACGCGACGATGGAAAGGCTGTCCAAGATTTATAAAAGTCCACGATGTTCAAAGTATCGAAAAGTCTGGACCGTAGCGAAACATAATCCACCTTGCATGCCATACGTTGGTCATTTTCTGATCAAGGTTCTGGGATTAAATAGCCTGAAAGAAATTCAAGCGAATTTTGCACCGTTCTTCACAAAGAAACAGTTAACCGCGCGAATTCGTGGGACTTCAGAGTCTTTGTCTATTAATAATAATTTCAATTATCATAACTCAAGAGATGACAAGAATCTAACAGAATCCAAGCAATCTTTAGCTAGGCGCATTTTTACAGCGACACTGACTAGGATGAAATTCACAGCCCGCCAGAACGTCACTGATGAAACTAAGGGCGATGTCTGGACGTGCAGGCAGCGATATCTTGCACGCAGGTTTTTTAATCGTTGGCGCGTGTTTACGTTGGAGATGAAAGTACGCTTGCAAAATAAGAGGAAATTGAAAAATGTGGACTTGAGGAGGAGACGCGTTATCGACATCGCGGCTTGGCTGACAAACTGCCAGAGATTCGCGTTGGGCTACAATTTCCCATTAAACTCATTCGCGTGTGAATATATTCTGAAGGCGCGTTACAGAGAGGACCGCGAAAACTTCTTCATCAGTCTCATGCTGGAACCGCCGAGGACAACTTGAATCCGCATTGGTAAATCAGGATTACATTATCGACGATTGATGTGCAATCGTTAATTTTAGTTATCATCATACGTTCATCTCGAGAGCGAAAGAGAATCGTAATTATTTTATTATCTCGAGTGCAACAAAACGGATAAAATATCGATGTACTATCAAAGTGCGTCGATTGTTTATCCGTAAATATTCTCTTTAAGACAATGACATACTGGAATGTTCAGTATTATTTACGATTTATACAGAAATATTTGTACTCAATGAAGTATTATCTACACGCGCTTTGTATGATTATTATTGCTATAAACTTTAATAACACTTTAATAAAAATAAGGTTTCGGATATTGTACCTCCAAATATTAGATAATGAGTACTAATTGGTATTCTACTGTATACTTCTACTTAATTTATTATAATTTTTTGTCTGGGAAAAGATTAAGACAATTTTTTTATCACCGTTTTATTCCGAACATAGTATATACAATTGTTATTTTACACATATTATATGTGTGTATATTATACATATATAAATATATATGTATATACACTTACATATATAATATATTTATCTATTAAATTTCTCAGTCATAAACTTAAAAAAGAGTGTAATGGTCGAAAAAGTGAATCTCTGAACTGATAGGTATCAGATTCTGACTAGATAACAATGCAGTGTATGTACAGTTGAAAATGAAATATCTACGTTATCGATTTAAAAGAATACGTAAAGAGTAATGTAATATATATATAATAACGGACAAAGGGAACAGTCTTTTTCTGGCACAAAATCGAACGTAATCCTCCATCGATCGTGTTGCAATCATCTAGAAACTCCAATCTTCGAAATGTACAAATTCTCTTTCACACATATATATATATATATACTGTATATATTTTAACATTTAAGATCGCAATTACAATTTGCGCAATTCGCAATTTTTGTTAGAAGAAGTAGAATAGCATTCCGTTCTTGCGTTCTACAAGAATAGACGCTATTTTCTTCTTCTCTCTCTTTTTTTTTAATCATATAAGACTCTGCGTATACAATTTTGACGCTAACACGAAATGCGTTTCCAAATGCATCGCGAGCGAAATGCGCTGCTACCCGATACTTTAAGGACGAGATCTCTACGGTATATCAGAATAAAATTTCATGAAGTATCAAAATAATTACTCGTGCTAATATTAGAGCATCCTTCTGTAAATGTAGATCGCAGTAATTCAAAGAGGAATCCTTTCTTCGAACATTATTGACATATTAATTAGTCGCATCCATTTCGAATGCACGCATTAGATTACAAGTATACAATTCCCTTTTCCCGAGTGATAAGTCCAGCGAAATAAAATACTTTAGTGATCAGTCGCGATTGAAAGGCCATTTTCGTTAGGATCGTCAGATTCTAACTTAGTAAAATACGACTAATTAAAGAATAGGAATTTTTTCTCTCTAGTCTTCTCGATCCTTAAACTTATCGTCGATCTGATCCCATGAATGTCGTACATCGTTCTGATGATCCTCTCCCATATCAGTCGAGTAAAACGCGGAGCTCATCACTCAGGCCGCTTGGAAGAGCAGCCTGCATCATTTTGCCGCACGGCGGCCACCCCGCTTAAATCACATGCCGCCGGGTTTCGGAAGATTCGTGTCGTAGGCTCTGATCACGTCCGTCTGGGTCACCGAGCCACCTTCCTCTTGCGAGAACGCAAAACCATCTGCATCGCGCAGCATGCGCAATAACAAAGGTCGCAATTCATTAATCTCTGCTATAAGAACGTTTATTAATTGGGTATGCAAGGCGTCGGAAGTCTGCCTTCTACTTTGTCTAATTCGCTACGTCAAGCAATCAGCTGTCCATTATCTTTTCTCATAAATTTTCAAGCGATTCGCACACCCAGAGAAAGGTTTCTTCAATTCAAAGAAATGTTTCTTTGCTATACGGTTAAAGAAAAAATTTCTTTGATTTGAACATAATTTCTTTAAATCAAATAAATTTTTTTATTTGATTTCAAAAAATAATATTTAAATCAAAGAAATGACATTCACGGTTCAAATCAAAGAAATATTTTCTTTAACCGTATAGCAAAGAAACATTTCTTTAAATCAAAAAAATTTAAAGAAATGTTTCTCTGGGTGAATATCCACGAAAATTACATTTTACATCGCGTAAAACAGTTTCGTGTTTCGAGACAGATTTGTCAGCCCATCGCTAGACGCATCCATAGCACAGCCGGGGATTCTCGATATTACCTTAATTAATATACAATATTTAGGTATTGGAATTCAGTAAAGCGTTATTTATAGCAAAAAAATAAACTATTCTCTAGTCTCGGATTAATGTTCTCTAGTTCCGCTAATTAAAATCATAGCAATATATACAAGGTGTTCCGGAATTGTCGCTGCCATTCGATATGATAGATACCGACAAGTTTTAAAAATTAAAGTCCTTATAACAGAGTCTGGCCATGAGTAGTTTTGTCAAAGTAAAAGTGAGAAAAAAGGATGTATATACTATCTCATTTTAACTTATATTATTTTACTTTTTAATTAACTGACAAAAATGACGGGCTAATAAAAAATTTGTCATCTTGTGACCAGATGCTGTTATAAAGTCAGAGCACAAACTTTTGCATAACACATAATACATAAAGCATAAGAAAATCAACCAAAGTCTTCTATTATTTTATTTCACAGAAAAGAAAGAAATAAAAAATGTTGATTGGTTCATTTTTTTACGAACTTTCTATAATAAGCCATTATCTAAACTTTCAAGTCTTAAGCCGTAAAAAATTGACCAATCACAGTTGAATGTGACATAAAAAATAATCGAATATCATTGATCAATTTCTTAAGCTCGTTTCTACCAATATAGTTTAATCTTAATCTTAGTTCAACTAACTTTTCATCTTTTTTTAGTTCTAAAAGTTAAAAAAAGATGAAGAACAAGTTGATCTAAGATTAAAGTTAATCTACATTGATAGAAACGCACATTATAGACTTAAGACTTAAAACTTATGTAATAGTTTATTTTGTAGATAACCCATTATGCATTATGCGTCATGCAAGACTGTGTTCTCACCCTTATGGGCCTTCTACAATAATCCATTAGTCATAAATCAGAAATCAGAAGCTAAAAATTAACCAATCACATTCGTCAATTTTTAGTTTCTGACTTCTGATTTATGACTAATGGCTTATTGTAAAAGGCCCATTAAAGGTCGCAGCACAGACTTTTGCATAACGCATAACACATAGTGTATAAGGAAATCAACCAATTAAAATTCTTCTTTTCCATGGAATGGGAGGAAAGGAAAGATTCTGATTAGTTGATTCGCTTATGCACTATGCGTTATGCTTTATGCAAAAGTCTGTGCTGCGGCTTTAAGCGGAGAGTACAAATTCTTGCATAACGCATATAACACAGGTACATAAGGTATAAGAAATTGAACCAATCAGAATTCTTTATTTTATGGAAAGGAAAAAAAAGAAGAACTTTGATTTGTACATTTTCTTATACATTACGTGTTATGTGTTATGCAAAAGTCTGTACTCTCCATCATAAGGTCTCTATTAAAAATGAAAGAAGAGCGCGACTTCCAGTACACCTAGCGCAATGCATCGGCTGCTAAAAAGTATATATTTCAGCTACGAGATAAAACTTGGTGCATGTGCAAGAGTGTGCAGTTAAATAATCAAATTTAACGAAAACACGTATAGAACTCGTTCGAAATAGTAATTTAAAATATTTTGGGACGGCACTCATCGATAAAATAAAGCTAGACGGACGAACGGACGGACGAGAAGAATGGAAAGCCGGTGAAACTTAGCGCGTGCTCATATTAGAAATAAAGTGCGAAAAAGTAAAGTATATGAAGAAACACGTTAAAACAATTTACCCCAGTAAGAAAGTAGTTTCGCGAGGGTCATAAAGTTGTCGGAAGGGTGGGTTAATCGATTCGGAAGATCGTTAAGGGGTGAGACCGATCCCGGGCATCGTAAACGGGAATATCTCTGGGCTGTGTGCGAATGTCTGTGGAAGAGACAACTTACGTGATAGCTCCACCTCGACATTGACTCTGGAGGCGGCGTTCGAGCGCCTGGTGAAAACGCTTTTAACATTTTTCAGCAACCTCGCCGTCTCGGTCAATCTGCAAAGCCGGGCATTCAGCAATGATTTAAAGATTCTCGGCTGGCCGGAGAGAACTCCTCTTACGTCCACGCGTCGTCGTCGCATGAACAAAACGAATTATAATTCGCTCTTTATTTTTTTCTCAGTGTCTATCTTTCTAAATCGTCGCTCTATATAATCTCTCGCCTTCGGGATATTCTCGGCCGGCAATGCTTTTCCAATCTCAAACGCGAAACTCCGAATTTTCTTTCTGTTTCACACCGATGGATATTACGAATACGTGATGGTAAGTGCGATACAATTATTGTGCAGGAATTAAGTAAAACAAGATGAAAGTCAAATGTGAAGATCGTGAGGGGTGGATGTTAATTTACTGGCAAAGAAAAAAATCGACAACTACTCTTATTAGAAAATTAATTAATTAATTATGATAATTAGACATGCGCGCCGCTAATAAGCCAGGTGTATACGTATATGCTATCGCAAGCATGAACAAAGTTATAATTACCATAGGAATCATCGTGAACTACACCGAGACGTGAGAAAAATTGCGTGATTGCCGTTTTCAAATCGCTGTGCTCTGTGCTTAGCCTTTTTTAACCCAGCGGTACATTAAACGATCATGCGATCTCATTTAATCGGCGGTGTTCTCGCTTGTTTGTAGTGTAGAGAAAGAAAAAAAAAGATATAAGTAGGAGTACTGAGAAATTATATACTGGGTACTGGGGGAGTACTTACACCTCGCGAGATCGGCGATGGCATGCACAGGTCTGCACGGGATACCACGTAAGAGAACACATCAAAAAAGACCGCATTAACGAACGACAGATCGTTTACGGTGAATTAATCTAGTAGCTGATACATCGTTAATTCTATAAGCTCTATTAACTCGAAGGATACGGTCAACGTAATGCTACAAATGCTTTGAATTATTCTTTAATTGGCCATTTAGTAAAATTCTTTCTTCTGATTGGTCAATCGAATGCCTCGAAGTGCTTTGTAGTAAGACTTTGATCGTACCCTAAGAGAATAATTGGGAGGATACAAGGACTCTTCTAATGCTATATGACTCAGAATTCATTTATCCTAAGAGATAGAGGATTAAATATACCGATAATCTAGCTCCATTGGAATATTTTATGTGCACGTATGTATACAGTTATAAAAAATAAAGGACTAATTTGCTGTCAATACGTATTGTGTGCTACACTGAGAAAAAATGTACTGAATTTAATGAAATATTTGTTTGAATAATACTAATTTAACATTTAGGGTAAATAAATATTTACTAAATAAAAAAATAATAGTTAAATTAATGGTTTTTATACCAAATAAATATACACTTACATTTACACAAAGTAAATATCTAATTAATACTATTTAAACAAATATTTATTAAAATTTAACAATTTTTTCTCAGTGTAATAGGGAATACATTAATTGATGCTATGTAAGTAATGGAGGATATGTAAAGTAAATTTTTAATTTAAAACAAAAGACAGGATTAATAACAATGATAATGATAACAGAAAATATATTAGAGGTGAATACAACAGAACCTATAGCACGTCACCGTATTATAATGCATTATTTTTTACAATCTTGCAAAATAATGCAAATAATTGAACCGGGAATGAAAGTCGTGCGAGAGATTCTATTGGATATGACATATTCAATACATCTGAATTAAATAAATATATATAATTACATCTACAATTATTAAATCATTATAATTGTATTCTTTGAACATCACATATAAAATATAAAAAAAAAATATAAAAGAAATATATATACATTTTTAACGTAACTCAAATAAAAAAAATATAAATATTTCTGGATACGTAGAGACAAGACGAATAATTCATAGTGCATACGTATGAAAACTGTGCTGCATGAAGTTCAGCACTGATCATTTTATACTGCACAAGATTTATTACGTTAATTCTAATATTGCATTTGAAAGGAACATGTGCGCGCATAGTAATCGCATATACTAAACGCTTACTATATTGGCATTCTTGGAAGACAGGAATATATCGGATGGATGGGAAGATTATTCAGGAATATGAGATTTGAAGTGTTGCGGTTGATGCATGCTCGGAACGGTGCGTAAACCACGAGCCACGTGCTACAAACGGAAACACTCTCAGCCTACTGCGTCTTCGTCGCGGATAGATCAAGGTCCAATATCGATTTAACCATCGCTTCGTCGACCTCCTGTCATAATTCATATTTATCCGCTCAATTAGGAGGCAATGGTATTTAAGTAGGCATAATTAAAGATTTGTCATTTTCAAGATGCACTCCGATTAACACATAAGCGAACAGACGAACGATAGTTAGTTTAGGAAAATCAGATAAGGTTCGCGTGATTAGATTAGATTAATAGTTGTTACATACATGCACCTAAATGTACCAAAATATAGAGGATTTTTTTCACAGTTTTAGTCAAACCACTCAGGCATCAATATAAATCTGTTCTCAAATACAAATAGTACGCGATAATGGAGCTAGAATCTAGAAAGCCATGCACAGTTTCGATAAGTCAACAAAATATACGATTGTTAGAACGATTCATGCACCAATAGCACCAATAGAGTATTAAATGTTTTTACGATGAACGCTAATCCTTTCAACGAAACAAATTAATGATAAATCGATATTTTATTTATCGGGTAGCCTAAATCGTCGGTTAGAATAATACAATCTTTCACCATGATCTGAATGATTAAATGTTAGAAAGCATCTCTTCTATCATTTAAAATGTCATTTTGCATTTTTTATGTATTAGTCTTTAGTAAAAGAAATGGAGGTACTTACGAACTTCTATAATCTTGATTGTTGAATATATCACCAGGATCGGACTTTCTAATTTCATTCTCTCGAGCTGCTTCCGTTACAGATTTCCAAACTGTATTCTTCACTCTAACAAAATAGACCATAAATATAAAATATTATCGTACAAACGCGTGCGCGTTTAACAGTGGCTGTACTCACGCTTTTACTGTGATATCCAACAGCAATACCGCAATAGGTATTAATATAAGTCCTAGCCAAAAAACAGGCGATGAAAATAACATTTTATCATTACCCAGCATCACAGCACCAACGTTTAAGACGGGCCAAAAATTACTGCAACAACAAGAATGCATTAAACGTATTACTTGTTGTTTAGTGCATGAAAGCTCATAACAACGTTATGTCGGAAGAATCTTACCTATATATAAAAATAAATAAGAACCAGAGTATTATAGACCCCCACGTCGCCAAATGGGTGACCCATGTCCATGAATTTATTATTAGACCCGCCTTCCCGCATACCGTTACTACAACATACTGAGAAACCACACGCTATGTAAGTAATCTTTTTCATAAGAACTTTCATAAATTTTCTCTCATAGAATTACGTAATATAAAGGATGCTGTACTCACGGTATAGACGAAATTTCCTAGTAAAAGATAACCGCCGTCTCTACCATTTGCCCAAGCAACGTCTTGTTTCAGAGCCATTAGCGGCAGCCAGTACAATAGCGACGAATGAATTAATGCATTTATAATCCATACCCAAAATACCTATATTTAAATATGTAGATACATTTAGAAACGTCTCATTTTTTTTTTAAACTGTTATACTTCTAAACTTAACACTTTATATTTACTTTAATATTGAAGAACGATTCACCGTTATTCTTTGTTGCATACAGTCCTGGATGAGCTAAATGAGTTTCCGCAGAACACACTTTATCAAAGAGACCCATAGCTAACGGAGGCGCAGCGGTAAAGACCTATAAAATACACCAGGGAGTCATTGAAAATTAATTTTATTTATTAGAGCAAAACAATATTGTACAGTTTTTAAAACTTACCACGTTGTAAAGCCCAATGGACCATCTTTCGAAAAGGATCTGCCCGGACCAACCGGAATAGATGGCAAACCATAATTCGATAACATACAAACAGATATTCTTGTAAAACGAGTATAAGATTAATTTACACATTCTGCTGTAATTCCAAGAGCCGTGAACAAATAACAAACGTTTCAGAAAACGAAATTGTGCAATGGAATAATCAGAGGCACAAGCCGCTTGAAGACCTTCCACACCTGAGATACCTATGAGAAGCGACAAATCGCAATGTTTTGACAAAAATGTTCAACAAAAATTAATAAGCGCAATAAAACTTACCGACGCCGATGTGAGCTTTCTGTATCATAGCCACATCGTTTGCGCCATCCCCGATCGCAAGAGTCACCGCTTTCTTGTTACTCGTGATTAAATCAACCACCTAAATTGTCAGAACATTTGAAAGAAGCTAGAACATTGCGATTGATTATATTATATAAGTTCAAATAGAATTAAAATGTTACCTCAGCTTTTTGAATTGGTGACACCCTGCAACAGATAACAACTTTGCAAGCTGAACACAATTCCAAGAACTCCATCCTGATGTCGCAAGACAAAGCGTAATCTAACGTACTGCCGTCTATAATCAGGGCTACGTCGTTTTGGCATTTCAAGTCAATCCCAAAATCAAGACAGCGTTGAATGATGACTTCCCTCGTTTTCTATGATACATATTACGTAAGGCATTTTACGTTAGGTTGACTGAAAGTTTAAAACTTTGATAATCACCTACTTACATCCAAAGAAGATTCATTAATAATGTAAAGTGGCATTCCATGTGTTATCAATTTACACGAGTACCCAATATTTATGGCGGTTTCCTGCTTATCTCCCGTCAATACCCAGACATGAATATCAGCTTGTATAAAAGCCTGTATCGTTTCTGGGACCTGAAAATATATAGCATTGCAAGAAATTCAATAAGACATTACAATTTCATACATGTTCAACTTTTTCATCATTTAATAACATTCCATACTTGATCTTGTAGTTGATCTTCAATTGCAGTTGCTCCTAATAATGTAAGTTTAGTCTCAATAAAATTCGCAGCTTGCTCCAGCATACTTTCACGATTCCTAAGACTAATTGACGCTTTGTGGTATGATTCGCTCCACCACTATAAAAAATTGGCGTAAGTTGTTAGACAATTTATTAACTTCAAAACAAAATAGAATACACACCTGGTAAGCATTATCAGGTATTTCTGCGGAGGCGAAACAAAGCGTCCGTAATCCGTCGCTGGCAAAGGCTTCCAAATGCTCTAGGGTCGTCTCACGAAAATCATCCGCGTGCTCTAGATCAAGATCGCTAGCTTCTAAAGAAGTCGACATCAATCTTTCATAGATGACTGAGTCTGCGCCTTTGCAAAAAATCTTAATTTTTCCCTCAGGCGTTTTCACGATCACAGACATACGCTTCCTAGCCGAAGTGAATTCTATAACGTTCAGGATTTCGTAACGCAACGTCTCGCCTAGAGCTACAATTTCCACATAACTGGGCGTCCGCGTATCGAACACGTAGTTAAATTTACGTGCTCCATCCACTAGCGCTCTTTCATCTAACGCGAAGAAAAAAGAATGTAACGTAATTCGTTAAATAACGTATCAAGCAAGAATTTCGCAAGCGATTCTTACCAGGAGACGCTGCGTGATAGATTATAGAGTCGTCTAATTTTTCAGGAATAACCGTGTGGCAAACCGACAGCATGACCATAAACTCGTGAAGTATGATCGCGTGCTCCGCTTTCTTCTTATCGATAGGATTCGACAAATCGCGCACGGACCTTCCTTCCATAATATCCTTAATTAACTCGCAGCTGATATCACTTGTACTCTCGTGGCCATTTGAAGGATTTGGCAAACTATAAAATATTCAAAGTTCAACACACAAATTAATATTTAATGTCAATATTATGAGTTTCTATGGCAGAAAACAGTATACTATTAGCATGAAACTTACTCGTACAGTCTTCCACCGACCGAACATCGCTTAAATTCCATAACGTTTTTCGTAAGAGTGCCGGTTTTATCCGTAAATATGTATTTAACTATCCCGAGCTCTTCGTTCAGATTACTCGTACGAGCCATCGCTGGAGTATCCGTCTCCGGGTGATACATTTCTATGTCCATATTAATAAACGTGGCCTGAACGAATCTCACTACCTCGAGCGTCACTTGCAACGATATCGGTATTAGATTATTGAAGAGAATAATAAACGTCAGTAGATTGAAAGCGAAGTTCTTAGTCATTTCTTCTGCAAGGAGAAAAAGGGTGAAACTTGAGTACTCCTTGAGATACTGTGCCAACAGGAGTCCGCCTATACGATACATTTACCTTGTAATCCTAGATACCAGAGACCTTCTTTGTTGGCATTCGTCCACACGACATTGAAAATCGCGGAAAGAATGCACAACAGAAGAAGTATGAAAAATAGCATCAGTGTCTGCGTGTTGATCAACCGATCCAGAGTGGATCGTTTTAACGGCGCTGTCGCGGTATTATTCTGCATGAGTTTCGTATCGTGTCCCGTGTATATGACTACACCGAACACCCACCGCGTGTTCCGCAACACCGCGCCACGGAGTAATAATTGATCGGGTCCTAAAGCTACGCTCCTGTGAAAGAATGATGCCGTTTGTGATGTAATAATGCATTAACTGATACACGACATGAAGATATGAAGACGTTAACGAATGCCATTTTCGTTAATAAAAATACAATACGTGAAAAACATTTAAGACTTCGTAGTTGATAAATGACGAATTGACATAAACCCTGATGAATGAAAATTTTTCTCGGAATTTTTCTAAAAATTGTGAAGCACACTTTTCAGAAATATTAAGAAGTCTACCTGCATCTTTTCTTGGAATCTTTTCTTAGATCTTTTCTTTAAATGCTCATTTTTTGGATTTTTTTTTAATATTTCAGCGGAGGCGTTACAATGCCCTATTTCGGCGCTGGAATTTGCTTTTGCGTCTCATCAAGGATTGCTAAATCTCTGAAGCATCAATCCTCCGTCAATGGCAACGAACAATTAAAAAAAAAAGAAATTTCCATCAATTTGCATAACACAGGGAATACGCGTATTCCCCTGTGTTATGCAAATTCATAGAAACTTTTTTTTTTTTTAATTATTCGTTTATTAAATTTATTATATTCGCGAATATAATAAATTTAGTATTTTCTTTTGTAATAATATATTTGACGCTTAATGCAACATACTATTACATTTTCTGGCTTTAGTTTTTGAAAATATATTCTGATTACGTCTTAATTGTTACGTAATCGAGACTGATTACGTAATCACAAAACTGTTCGCCAATTCTTTTTCAATTGATATCTTAACTAAATCACATGATCGCACACACCTGCGTCATTGTATTTCTCTCAGATAATTCTTTATTATTTTTAATTTTGAAAAAGATGCCTCTGCACAGTTGCCACAGACATTGGCACAGTTAATAAGATCTGTAACGCTATTGCTAAATTTGAAAAGATTTCCAGAAAACCACTTTTAGCTTTCATTTAAAATATCAAGTAAGATAGAGCTTTATATTTACAAGAGTATAAGCGCTGCCTATTAAAATTTTGTGCCCTAAATTTTGCGCCCTACGCTGGAACGTACCTGCTTAGTGCCTCGTAACGCCTCCATATTTCAGAATATTTATATGTATTTTAGAAAAGATATAGACTTCTGAAATGTTCCAATTTGTATAAAAAAAATTTGAGAAATTTTCTAAAAAGTTATTAAATTATTCAGAAATTCTAAAAAATTTATGTATGAAAAATTTAGAAAAAAATTTTCACCAAGAAAGGAACAAATCCAGATATGAGAGAATTTTAGGATTACAAATAACAACGGATTAACGTAATGAGAAGGAAAATGCGTAATAAGAAGGAAATATAATTAAAATTATTTTGCACATGCATGTTTGTGTTCTTACTGTTTATTGGTCTCCCGTAAGACTCCGTGGAACTCATACAAATGTCTATTGGGCGGCTCACACTGGATGTTCGCGCGAAAATTCATTAATTCCGCGGTATCCAAGAGATTGGCAGTGTCGGGATGGGCCTGTCGGATTTTCAGATTCGTCTCGCCGTCCAGGTTGGCGGTCTCTATGAAGGACATACTCTGCGGCTCCGACGATGACAACAAAATCAAGTCAGCGGGGAAGAAAGTGTTATTGTGAACCTATGCATATTAAAGAGAGCGATTCTAGCGGGGGGATTAATTATTATCACATGAATGATCTTGGCGAAAACAGGGAGCAACCTTAACCACATCGCCGACGGCCACGGCGCGCCACTGTATCCATTGCCAGCGCCCTTCCCTCAGCACCTCTACTTCCCTCATATTTATTTCATCATCTGCTCTATGCCTTTTCTAAAAATTGATAAAAAATACGTAAAATATATCTATATAATTAATCTAATAATCACCATAAAGAAAATATGATAACAAATATACGTACAACATCCTCGATTATCTCTTTCAAAGCGGATACGCTGAGGATGAAAATCAGTGGAACCAATGTAGTCCAACGTCCTGTCGGAGACACATCCGGTATTTGCTAAAAATTTAAATCAAAGAAAAATGCCTCCAATATATATAATATAAGGATCCTTTCTCTTACTTCGAAATATTTATGAAAAAGTATTATTAAGGAATTCCGAGTTTTTCCGTCTGTTGCATCATGTTATATTCGTAATATTTCTGCATGAACTTTACCTGCATGAGTGCGATGAACAGGAAGAAACAATTGCTGTAGCGACGGAATTGTTCGAACAGGAACAGGGGTACGAACGATAGAAATGAGTACTTCGCGGTAGTAATGTGATTGTTTTTGTATTTCGCAGGTTGATGAGGGGCATTGACGAAAATTACCCTTTCTTCGCCATCATTCTGTTGCGTGGTTGGTTGATCGTCACCCTGTGAACCATTTTCCGCCCTTATCGGACCAACTATAACACAAAATGCATTCAATTTTGTATGTATCGTTTGCGTGTAGATATAACATTCATAATCTCAGTGAAAATCTCTGTATATTTCGATTTTTCTTTTTCATTCAATTCAATAATATCAATAGTTAATCATTTATATATGTATAACGCCACGTGTCTCGTAGATATAATCTATATTTACGTCTTAATTTAATTTTACTGTTCTGTTTGAATTTATTTGACCTAAAAATATAATCTATTTTCTTGCAAATATTTTATTAATTCTTTTAAAACTTTTCTCTCTAGTATTTAATAATTTTATCATAATAATTTTATTAATATAAAATTTCTTCTGTATAACATTTTTTATTCTTTAGAATTTTTTTATTATATCGATCCACAAACAATTTACTTCAAAAGTAACACAATTCAATTAATGACTCCAAATGATATTTTTTTAAGTTATGTCTTTTGAAGCAAAGAAACAACACGATCGTATAATAAATTTGAGTAGAATTATTTAACAGGATTAATCAATAATTTAATCAAATATTTAATTTAACCAACAATTTAATAAAACGTTTTCCATTTCCTGTGTAATTTCTTTCCATAAACAAGAAGAATTTCTTACAAAAGATTATTATTCGTCCAATTTATCTTGGAAAGAAAATCGACAGTTTTTCATCGCCTACAGGCTTCTTCGAGTCTTTATTATAGACTTGCATTTCTCCACTCGTCAGATACAGAAATACACCTTCGGCCGAAGGAAAGGTTAATATAAAGAACAAAGTCACGCTACTTTAGAAAATTTCGATCGTAAGAGTATTATTATGGCCAGACATAAATGACGTTCGTATCATGCTTGGATATTTCTTCTATAGCCACCAGCCGTGTATCGTTCCGCCCACGAGCAGCGAACTGACAGTTGTACCACGACACAATTCGCAGCAAATGGCCACTTAAAGTATTATACGTATAGCTTGCTAAACTTGGAAGATAAATAATACGGCCGCAGGTATCGTAGTGTGTTCTTGGCCGATGCGCAACGAGCGCAATTTACACAAGAGTCCTCAGTTTATCGTCGTGCACTTATGTAATTTACATTTACCATTTATTGATTTATGCAATATCGACATTATATGTTTGCTATGTACGTATGTATGTATGTACATGTATCCAGATGTTTACTATATTAGCTATTTTCCTTCATTTTTCTTCAAAATCAGATAAATAGGAAAAATTAAATAATTAAATAATGATTAGAATAAAAGTACTAGCGCTACGTCATTTGTATCATGTTTTTTTTTAATTTGGCAGTTATACCATTCGATAGAGCCAAGTTTCAGCTTTAAGAATTTATTTTTTTAATTGCAGTATAACGATTTATCACGAAGTTACGAGCAATCAAAGTTAAAATGCTCCTTTTATTTAATTCGTAATTCAGTAACAAAAAATCTTAGAAACAATTTTGTAGAAAGAACTTTAAGTTATCACGTTAAAAAATTATAAATTTTCACAAATTTTTTTTTTAGTATATAACACAGACCACAAAATGAGAAAAAAATTTCTCATTTTATTCAGCTCGTATAATTTTTACATATAAAAATTACCAAACTCAGAAGAACTCAAGACATAGTGATCTTTTAAAAGAGATTTTAAGCTTTAAAAAAACCACCTTTTTTTAAATTTAAATTTTGTTTATTTTTAACAAAGTTACAGGTATTCGAATTTTGAAGTTCATAACACAATACATTTTGTTTATTCGGATTTTTAATCGGAATTATTTTATTTTGATTTTAATAACAAAATAGAAGAAATCTCTCTGCATTCGATAAAGTAAGTTATATCTATAAATAATCTCTATACATTTAAGTACAATACTCAACAATTCAGCATCACTGTAAACATCGATAATATCTCGTTATACATTATAACAGAATTTAAAAAGTATGACATTGTATATCTCTGTTCTCTATATTCTGCAAAATGGATTTTCACAATTTTAGAACACTCGCTGCCGATTCGAGAATACATGACTACGTCAATAGAATAAAAGATAAGCGGTTGCGACTGAAAAGAGAGATAAGCATGCTTAATTAATAATCCAATGTGTACTTTCATCTATGCCGTAATTTAAAGAGATAGACTTTGACGTATAAAAATTTAGATGATTAATTACACTTAATACATAACAATTACCGTAATATACAGAAATTATATATTATATTTTATACAATTCAAAAAGATAGACTTCGATGAACAAAAATTTAAACAATTTACTACATTTAATACTTTTAATAATAACAGAAATTATATATTACTGTTACATATAATAATATGTATCTCACTGTATTATTATTATTATACATAATAATGCTCTGCGTATTACTGTAATATTATAATACAAAATGCCATATGTTGAGCTGGAACAAAAATTCGTAGCACTACGAACGTCAAAATTCAAGCAATTGTAACTTCGTTAAAAATAAACGAAATTTAAATGTAAAAAGGGATTTTAAAGCTTAAAACCCCTACTTTCGATAGGTCATTATGTCATTTGAGTTTCTATAAGTCCCATAATTTTTACATATAAAAAATTACAAGCTAGATAAAATGGAAAATTTTTCTCTTACTTTGAAGGTCTGTCAGGTGTCTAAAAGAAAGCTCGTGAAAATGTTCAACTTAAGGGGATCCTAAAGCAAAGCTCGAACTCCGAAAAATCACTAGATATCGCGCCGCGCGCTGCACATCGACATGTCTTTTTATACTACCACAGCAATATCTCACGCAGCCTATGATACACGCAGTCACACATACGTGTCAATTTTCGTACAACGAATTCGTCGCGATAAAGCGTCTAAATCTAATTCTAA